CCGGCAGGTCGAGGCTGCGGTGGCCGGGAGCGGCCGCTGCACTCCAGTCTGGGCGACAGAGTGAGACTCCAACTCAAAAAAAAAAGAAAGGCATTGGAAGCAGTGGGATACTGCTGAGGGGGGGATCACAACACCAGTAAGGGTAACTGATCTCAAGCCAGGCAAAGTGACCAAATGGAGGCCCAAACTTTACCTGTATAATGTCCAACTGTATACCTAATCCTGAATTGTACCCCACATCTTTAAAATAAAATAAAAGCCCAGGCACAGTGACTCAGTCTTAAATCCCAGCACTTTGGGAGGCCAAGGTGAGAGAATTGCTGGAAACCATTGGTTTGAGACCAGCTTGGACAACTTGGTGAGACCTCGTCTCTACAATAAATTTAAAAATTACCCGGTCATGGTAGTGCGCGCCTGTAGTTCCAGCTACTTGGAAGGCTGAGGCAGAAGGATCGCCAGAGCCCAGCAGGTCGAGGCTGGGATGGCCATGAGTGTGCCACTGCAGCCTGGGCAATGGAGTGAGACTCCAGCTCAAAAAAAAAAAAAAATTAGCTGGGCGTGGTGGCGTGCACCTGTAGTTCCCGCTACTTGGAAGGCTGAGGCGGGAGAATTGCTAGAGCCCAGCAGGTCGAGGCTACGGTGGCTGTGAGGGTGCCACTGCACTCCAGTCTGGGCGACAGAGTGAGACTCCAACTCAAAAAAAAAAAAAAAAAAGAAAGTAGTGAGTGTGTGGGACCTGCACATTAATCCCAATAGCACAAGGCACTGCCAGGGGAGTGGGGCCGTGTAGCAACGCAAAGCCCACCTGGTCCTAAACCAGGGGAAGTGAGGACCAGGTGGAAGCCCAAACTTCACCTGCACATACATGACATATGTATCTAATCCTGACTAGTACTCCACATCGGTTTTTTTTTGAGTTGGAGTCTCACTCTGTCACCCAGACTGGAGTGCAGCGGCCGCTCCCGGCCACCACAGCCTTGACCTGCTGGGCTCCGGCGATCCTTCCGCCTCAGCCTTCCGAGTAGCCGGAATTACAGGCATGTGCTACCACACCTGGCTGATTTTTTGATTTACTGTAGAGATGAGGTCTCGCCTGCTCAGGCGGGTCTCGAACCCGCGGGCTCAGGCAATCCACTCACCTCAGCCTCCCAAGGCGCGGGATTACAGGCTGAGCCACCGAGCCCAGCTATACCCCACATCTTTATAATAAAATTAAGTCAAAAAAAAGTGGCGAGTTTGAGGAACTAAATTTTTAATGGCATTTAATTTTGATTAATTTATATTTAGACAGCCACGTGTGGCTAATAACTATATTAGACAATATAACCCCAGACCCCCCTCCCCGCACCCATACTCTGTGCCCTCGAACTCAAACCCCGGCAGGGTTGACCCTGCCCACCTCCCAGCCACGTGGCCTCGCAACCCCTCCGCCCCCCCCCCCCCGCAGAGGCCCACCCTCCCAAGCCCCGCCCTCCACTCCACAAGACACGCAGCCTCCTCGCGGCACCGATGACTGTCCCGTCCACACCTTTGCCCGTGCTGTTCATCCTGCCAGGCACACCCCACCCCACCCCACCCCAACATCTGCCTCTTTGCTGCTCTTACTCCAGGCCTCAGCTCAGATATCCCCTCCTCCAGGAAGCCCTCCCTGCCCCTGGGGCATCCCCTTGGGCCTCCACCATCCCAGCCCTGACCGCTCTGGGTCATCCGTTGTCTGGGGACTCACCCCTCTCGGGACAGCGAGCCCCCCCGCTGTGGACTTGGGTCGGGGCTGCGTGGCCTCCATTATCACTGAGTGTGTTGGAATGAATGAATGCATGCAGGCGTGTATGAATACATGAGTGGGTGAATGGAGGATGCTTTTCAAAAACTAGACAGCCGGGCTCGGTGGCTCAGCCTGTAATCCCGCACTTTGGGAGGCTGAGGTGAGTGGATTGCCTGAGCCCGCGGGTTCAAGACCCGCCTGGGCAACTTGGCCAGACCTCACTCTACAATAAATCAAAAAATCAGCTGGGCGTGGTAGCGCGTGCCTGTAATTCCGGCTACTCAGAAGGCTGAGGCGGAAGGATCGCCGGCGCCCAGCAGGTCGAGGCTGCGGGGGCCGGGAGCGACCACTGCCCTCCAGTCTGGGCCACAGAATGAGACTCCGACTCAAAAAAAAAAAGAAAAAGAAAAACTAGACAGACTCAGGGCTCTCAGAGCAAGTCCACCACAGGTGAAATCCCACCTCCGCCTGCTGGCAGACTTGCCTCTTTCCTCAGGCCTCAGTGTTCACATCTGTGTGGCAGCTGCTGGCTGAGGTCGTGTGTGTTTGAGCAAAGCCAGGGTGGCTGCTCAGAGGCTGTGCTGACTGCGGTGGCAACCAGCCGTCACACTGGATGGGAAGAAGCAGCTGAAGGGGATGGGAGAGGCATCCTGGGAAGCCCGGGGAAGTTCCCGGTCACCCCGGTAAACTGGTTCAACCGGTGTCTGCAACTCCACCTCCATCCCAGGAGTCGTGGAGAGGAGATGCCAGGCTGGGCCTTGGAGGCACCCCGGGATCCCTGCCGAGCAGGCCCACCTCAGGTGCCAGGGCCCAGCCCTCCGGTGTCCAGCAGACGGCCCCCTGGCTCCTCCCCCGGACACCAAGATGGGGGTTTCCACGGGGACCGGGGGCGGCTTCTCAAAGCGCCTCCTGCTCTCAGGTAAGAGGGGAGAAGGGGGGACTTCGCCCAAGGGTTGCGGCTTCCCTAGGAAGGAAGGAAGGGCTGCCTGGGAAGATGAAGTGGCTCCAGTGACATGGGGAGGAGCCACCGAATCACATCCTCTTGGCTGTCGTGTCTGTGGAATTTTCTAGAATGTCAGGAGCATGAGGGTGGGAATGTATTTGTGTCTGGTTCCCTGCGATATACCCAGTGCCTAGAAACCTAGGCTCATTTAGACATATGGTAGGTAGTTGATATTGTAGCTTATATAAGTATATATATAAGAATTATAAGTCATTATAAGAATATGAGTATTAGGCCAGGCATGGTGGCTCACGCCTGTAATCCCAGCACTTTGGGAGGCAGGGGTGAGAGGATGGCCTGAGCCCAGGGGTTTAAGAGTAGCCTGGGCAACTTGGCAAGACCTCAACTCTACAATAAATCGAGAAAATTAGCCGGGCGTGCTGGTTGCACACCTGTAGTTCCAGCTACTTGAGGCAGGAGGATCACCTGAGCCCAGTGGCCAAGGCTGTGGTGACCATGAGTGAGCCACTGCACTCCAGCATGGGTGATAGAGTGAGACTCCAACTCAAAATCAAAAAAGTATCAGTGCTAGTCTATAATTATTGGTTGAATAAATGAACGAATGAATTCAGAGAGTCCTAGTGTTTAGAAGCAAGCCACACAGCTTCTCAGGGTGGAAAAACCCTCTGGGTTAATGGGATGGCAAATCTGTGGCATCTGAACCTATGCTCCACTCCCAAGCCCAGGGCAGACATCACTAATCAATCCCAGCACTGCTTCCAATGAACAACACTCAGAGCCCTTGCTCCTGAGTGAGGATCGCTATCTAGAAAGGAGCCTGCCGTGGTCCCTGCCCAGCACCCCCAGTCTCAGGCCTCCCCCCTAACCCCCCACAGCCTCCATCCTGGCGCTCTGGATGCCCCGAGGCTCCCAGGCAGCCCTCCACATCCAGAAGATTCCGGAGCAGCCTCAAAAGAACCAGGGCCTGCTGCTGTCTGTCCAGGGCGTCCCAGACACCTTCCAGGAATTCAGCTGGTACCTGGGTGAGGAGATTTATGGAGGCACGAGGCTGTTCACCTACATCCCCGAGCTGCAGCGGCCCCAGAGGGACGGTGGCGCCATGGAACACCGAGACATCGTGGGCTTCCCCAACGGCTCCATGCTGCTGCGCCGTGCCCAGCCTGCTGACAGCGGCACCTACCAAGTCACCGTCACCGTCAACCCTGGCTGGACCATGAAGGCCAAGACTGAGGTCCAGGTGGCTGGTGAGTGTTAGGGGCTGGGGGGTGGGAAGCTAACGGCTCCTGAGCACCAGGTCCCGTCAAAACACCATTTCATCTGGTCCTCTCGTTCGTCCACTCAGCACGTACATATTGAGCGCCTATTGTATGCCAGGTCCTGGAGAGATCCTTCAATCCTCACTAACTAACTAATAAAATACCTATGAAGTGCCTGCCTTTTGCCTGACACTGGAGAACGCATGTTATTGACTCCTCACCTGTATTCATGAATCATTTATTGAGCACTTCCCAAATGCCTGGTAATGAGGAATGCATCCCTCAGTCTTTATGTTCAGAAGGCAGGTATTTCCTGAAGAATCCACTCTGGACAAAGTGCTAGGGACAGGGTGGTGAAAACTTGTGACAGCTAGACTGGGTGTGATGGCTCACACCTGCAATCCCAACACTTTGGGAGGCTGAGGTGGGAGGATTGCTCGAGCCCAGGAGTTCCAGACCAGCCTGGGAAGCATAGCAAGACCACATCTCTATAAAAAATAAAAGAATTAGCCGGGCATAGTGGTGTGCACCTGTAGTCCCAGCTAGTTGGAAGGCTGAGGAGGGAGGATTGCTTGAGCCCAAAAGTCTGAGGTTGCAGTGAGCTGTGATCATGCCGCAGCACTCCGGCCTGGGTAACAGAGTGAGACTCCAACTTGAAAGAGAGAGAAGAAGGAAGGAAGGAAGAAAGAAAGAAAGAAAGAAAGAAAGAAAGAAAGAAAGAAAGAAAGAAAGAAAGAAAGAAAGAAAGAAAGAAGGCAGGAAGGGAAGGAGGCAAGAAGGGAGGGAAAGAGAGAGAAGAATGACAGCTGACATTTCTTGGGCACTTGTTATGGTCCGGGCACCATTGTAAACATTTTCCCTAATGCATCTCGACACTACTGATGTTCTGGAGCAACCAAGTCTTTGCAGTAGAAGCTTGTGCACCGGAGAGATGTTTCACAGCTTCCCCAGCCTCTACTCGCTAGTAGCACCTTCCCAGTATAACAGCCAGAAATGTCTCCAGATATGGCCAGATATCAATTCGGGACATCACTGCCCTATATTAACTCATTTTTATCTTAAAACAACTCCAAGAGGCAGACGTCATCCTTGTCTCCATTTTACAGATGGAGAAACAGAGGCACAAAGGGCTTATGACCTGCTGAGTAAAGAAAACTCACCAGGACGATGTGGCCTGGGAACGGCAGGTCATCAGGGAGGCCTCACAGAGGAGGTGACCTTCGAGAAAGGAGTAGAAGAAGGTGACTGAGGGAGGGAGGAGCAGCGGGCTGAATGTCTGTGTCCCCCTAGAATTCTTTTTTTGTTTGTTTGAGTTGGAGTCTCACTCTGTCGCCCAGACTGGAGTGCAGTGGCCGCTCCCGGCCACCGCAGCCTCGACCTGCTGGG